GGGCGCCAAGCGCCAGATAGGATATCAACATTGGTTCTTCGTTGATGATGATGATGGGACTATTTCAGCATTGTCAATTATGAGCTCTTGGTGTGTTCTTAGTTAGTGAAACTCGTGATGCAATTCTGCTGTTGGTTTGAGGTCACGACTATCTGGACTTGTGTATGATGTTGTTTGATTGCTGAAGTTCGCTATTGCTCATCTTCCTTGCATATATATTGTCATAGAACTATTGACTAAGAGCGTAGGCACGTGGAAGTAAGAAGAAATAAGATGAGCGAAGACAAGAAAAATGAAAGGATAGACAGGCAAAGAGACAGACAAAATAGAATGACACAAAACAATGTACTCTTCTTCTTTGTTTCATTGTATTCTGATTTCTTTCAGTATTTTACAAAATGTTTTTGCAGTGAACTAAGTATAAAAATAGAAAACAAAAACACATCGACATCATTCAATTTCGCAATCTTCTTAACTCCTCCTCCACCGTGCCTCTAACGTACAAGGCCCGCCACATTAATGAAGTTGAGCGCGAGCTTCCCCCCTCGTATGCCATAACAACCCACTTGCATGCTATGGGAAAGAGGCAAGGTGAAGGAGGAGGTGTCAAACACAAGGGAGAGAGGAGCAGAACAGGAAAATCGATAGGCAGCGGGAGAAAAAAAAAAAAAAAAAAAAAGGTGACACAAACATTTTTCTCTTATTGCAGTATTCTTTCTTTCACAGTTTTGCAGTTTCGGTGAAGAGTACCCCGTTCATTTTTCAGCGCACCTGCATTTCCTTCTTTATTTTTTACTCTCATTTTCACCCTTTAGACTTTTTCTTTGAGGGTGTTAGAATGCAGGGTACAAACAAAGTAAAATGACACAAACTTATGTTATTTTACTGCATTCTTCACTGTTTCGCAGCTTTAGTGAAGGGTGTCCCACCTTTGCACATTCTTGTACACTCTTTTCAACGCACCTGCACATTTTTGCCAGGGTGCAAGGTACGTCTAAGTACGACCCTCACGACAAGTAGGACAGACCCTCACGACAGATAGGACAACTATCATAAGGATGCGGACGATTGAAGCAGCCTTCCCACTGATCTGTAGAACGAAAATTATTTAGGTAAGCAACTTCGTCACCGCAGGAGCCAAGACGGCTAGCATCAACCATACCTTTGAAGCATACACGACAGAGAACAGGCCGGTTGTAGGCCATGACGATTGTGGGTCATTCACCATCACTGTTAATTGCACATTCGTTATAGAGCCCGTAGGCACAAATGGGACATACTGCATCTGGATGTAGAAGATGTTCACAATCCGGATACAAGTGGCATCCCTATCGATAGTGGATCCGAAAAATTATATGGTTGTAGTGATGTCGACAAAGTCGATGTTTTCCACAACCAAGTGTAACCGTGTTAGTGATCTCACAAAGGAGGTCACAAGATGTCAGTGCAACATGTGGTGGAATGAAGACTAAAGCATGCACGGTGACAAACATGGAGGTAGGCATGGAGACAGACACAGAAACGGGCATGGAGACGGACACAGAAACGGGCAGGGAGACAGACACTGAAACGGGCATGGAGAGAGGTGTGGAGACAAGCACAGAGACAAGTGCAGAGGCGGGGACGTAAGTACACGAGGTACCTATAGTGTCACTAGCGTGGAAGGAGACAGACATAGAAACAAGCATAGAGACAGGTACAGAGGCAGGCAAAGAGATGGGTGTAGAGGCAGGCATGGAAGTACCCAAGGTACCGATAGGGTTAATGACCTGGAACAATTGCAGGTTAGGGTAATTACGCACGATATTACAGGTCGCAGTAGTAGTTTGCACCATAGCCCCGTCATTTCATAATTCATAAGAACCAGAGGCACGTACAAGAGTGGTGTAGTGGTCAGGAGTATGTAGAATATAGGCACACACGTGCAAACAGTGGTCCAGGTCGCCACCCGAAAGGGCATGCTGCATACAAAGTCGCTGCCTTATCAATGTAGTCTCCAAAACAGAGACATTGAACCCCCTATGTCGAGTGTAATTACTATTCTGTGGGGGATGCAGTGTCGGGTTATCGCCATACAACTCACGTTCCTGAGCATCAAGATCGGAAGCAATGGCCAAGAAATCAGAGTGAGTTACAATATGGTTCCCGACGATAGGCTTGTAGGCATATGTTAGCAGCAGTGAGGCCACCACAAATTCGGTGGAGGCCGGTCACGCAGATTTTCTATAGAATTTCCTACAGTCCCCTTGCCAAGTTCATCCTCGGATGGTCCCTCACCATCATCCCTCCTATTTTGTGTTTGCCTTATTGCAAAAAGGTCTGTTGTCGCAAAGTGCCATAGGCGTGGTACGGATGCTTGGAGAGGCAAAAGAAGGGGACGGTGTCGTCCGCACCGGTCCGGCACCGCACACAGCAGCGCGGGACCCTCCCGGCCGCGTCACGCAGGAGTTGGTCTTAATCCTCACCGCAAATGTATATGGAGCTTCCGCAAGCTGCTCCGGCTGAGTGCGCCAGCCATACCTCTCGCGAGCCCCTACGACAAGATAGGGCCTATGCGAGGCACGACTTACCTCCACCTTCCGGAAGTTGTCAACTCCCTTCGGTGGGCGTATCCCCACCGAGCTACCAGTCCACAGTTCGAAAGTTGATCAGATGCAATCGCAGAGGTGGACCAGCCGAGGGCGTTTCTCGTTCGTTGTAGCATAGGGGGTACGCGCGGTAATACGCCTCTATCGGACCCCACACGAACCGACGCCTTGGGGGGCTGAAATCCCAAGCGCGACTCGTCGCCGGTCGACTAGGACGCATCCCACACGCCACACACACCCAGGTTGTGCATGGTTGCGCCTCACCGTCAATACCCCACGTGCGCCTCTCAACTCAATCATACATCATTTTCAAGTTTTTCTCAAAGCAAATTAAATGCCCTATTGTGGGGAATAATCAGACACCTCAATCCTTTAGCTAGTCTAGAAGATTAGGGAGGTTGACCCCATCACACAAGCCACAAATGTACCTTATGGGTAGGGCCCCGTTAAGCCCAGTCCCACAAGGCATTACTGTCATGAAGAAGTCGCTCACCTTAGTCATTCATCAAACGACCGGGTAGGGGTATTCATTCAGTCTTCAAAATAAAAGAAAACCATCCCTTTTGCTCATAAATCCTACTTTTATGAGTAGGGTTCTTCGCTTTCATCATACCTTTTATCAATCTCATTCATAAGCTTTGCTCAGTGAGCAAACTCTCATAATCTTCTTCCCAAATAAAATTCAAAGTTTATACTTCTCAAAATCTCACCATAATCAACCATTTTCCTTAGGTTTTTCTTAATCACAGGAAATATTGTCGCAGGCTAGCCACTCGCAGTTCACAACCAAGGGCCAAGTGAGGGTCCCATTATCCCATATACATGACAGGTTTCCCTGCCGTGAGTCTCCTCTACTGACAGCCATGAACCTTGGGTAGGGTGACATTGCTGTATACATGACCGTATAACCCCTACCCTCTGACGCAGACTAAACCACTAGCAGTCCATAACCACGGGGTCAAGTGAGGGTCCCGTATACATGACAGGTTTCCTTGCCGCAAGTCCCTCGCTGACAGTTATGAGGCCAGGGTAGAGTGGTCGTTGTATACATGTCAGGAAAGCAAATCTCTCAACCAAAAATCTTTCAGCTATCCTTCCCACTCAAGGATAAGCATTCCATATAATCTTTAAAATATCTTCCACTCGGAGATGGGTCCCAATAAGATCATCAACCGTTTAGGCCGCCCTCGGGCATAACCTCTCTCTCAATATGATTTTCTGGATTCTTTAAATCTCCCATAAATCCTCCACTGATAATCACGCTTTCCTCCCCGGTTCAAGCATCTTCACTGACTTTTTTTTGTCACTCTTTTATTATACATAGTCAAGACTTTTCTTCTCATATGTCAAATAGAATAAAAACAGAAAAACCCACCAATTCACCATGGTGAGAATGCCAATGCCAACCAGAACATGCACGACTCTGCAACCCAAGGAAATCAAAACCCATACCAAGATGATCCTTAAATGAAAATCAGATTATCCTGAGTTCCCAAATCCTCACGAATCCAGGTCTCAACCAGAAACAAATGACCTCGTATACCATAAAGTCATAAAAGACTGATATACACAAAACGATCCCAACCGTCCTCGCAAAGATAAAAGGACGTCAGTGAACGAACAATAAAAACTTACAAGACCTTCACTTGCATCTAACAATACTGAAGTTAGCTCAGAGAGCGGATAATCAAATCCAAGATCTACGCACAATTCCCAAAAGTAATGTCCTACACTTCGAAATCAAAAATATATATGAGAATAAACCTACGTCTCATAAAACTTAAAAGGCTCAACTTGAAAGCAAAATAAGCAGATAATCGCCTATTGGTCTAGCAACCGAGTTCCGAATGTTTGTTTATAAATCGTTCAAGACTGCTCACACCATTCTATCGTTTTCTTGCTATGGACGATATAAGTAAAATGGTGATAGTTATTGGGAGGAGCCAAGAGCCCTTGCCTAAAGCACAACGGTCTCACCCCTTAACTCCTTCCTTTGCCATCTTACATCTGCGAGGGGTGTGACCAGTCTTTCCACAACAAGCACATACTATCTTTGCCTGCCGGTCTCGCATTCTCTTTATTATACGATCCGTCCTACTTTCAGATGACAATGTATCACATCGGGTACATTCTTTCTGAGGGTCGGACGTAGTAATAGGTGGGGCCATATCTACTTGTTCTTGTTCTCTTTGTCGCCCTTTCCTCTCCTCATTCGGAACGTCAATTATCCTCTCACAGGTATGAGGTGCGACGTTTCCAACTTCAACCTCCCCTGCTTTATCAATGTAGGCCCTCGCCTTGTTCTCTTCACCCTACTTCTGATTTCGCTTAGACTTCTTAACCTTCTTCTGAGGCTCGCCTTCCATATTCCCTCTAGCACCTGCCACAACTTCCTTTGTGCCTTCATCAAACCTGCTCTTACCACAACCTTGCAACTCCTTTCTTTTCCTTGCTTCTCGTAGAGTATGGCAGAGAACTGATCAAAATCCCCCTGCACAAAGTTCTCTCGTATTTTGTCCCATACGAGCCTTCCTTCTGTCCCACGGATCAGATCTCGCTGCTCGGCATTCGTAAAGTTCATTAGGAAGATAAAGCATTTGTCGTGTTCAGACAACGCCCAGACCTTGCGGGATGCACGCTCATACTCCATCAGGAAGTGCCCTACTGAAACATAACTGTATCGATCTATCTTTTCAAGATCGTCTTTGGTCAGTTGTTCCTCGCCTAGCTGGTATTTATTCCACATGTCACCATAAAACTTCCTCCATAATGACCCCGCTCTTCTAACCAGCTCACCGACTTCCTCCTTCAAGCCTATATGGATATACTTCATAACCTCCTTTAGCATCTGCTCCTCATTCCATTCACAGTGAGACGCTATCTGCCCAAACTTCTCAAGGAAGTCAGAAACATGATAGCCCTTGAAGAAGTCTATCTCAACCTTGGGTAGGTTGTCTCGTTCCCAATCTCGCAGACCCAACAGAGAGGCGAACTCCTCGACCCCAATCTTCCCTTGAGATCCTTCCATCTCGAGCTCCCTTGACCCCATCACCTGTTGAACAACAACGAGCAGCGTTAGGGTCGAGGCTCGAAGGAAGTTATGCAACTAAATCTAATGTAGAAATATCCCACTAAAATTATCCCGTTCTCATCATGAAGGCACACATAGGAATCTATTCAGAACAACAACGTTACCGAAGAGAGTCTTAGAATAATTATCCACCTAAAATAAAACATAAATATTCACCTATAAATCCTTCAAATCATAACTCAGGCGTTAACCACTTATGGTTTCTACACAAATGGCTAATAGGTACCCCCACTTTTCACCCCTAGAGTAACCTTCACCACCCTAATAATACAGTGGGGATCATGTTGTTGTTGTTTTTTTTTTTTTTTTTTTTTTTTTTTTTTTTTTTTTAAATACGTTAGTAAGAAGTGCACTCTGCAGATTGGTGTGAAGTATGGTTAAAACGACCCTTCGTTTTTTTACAAATAGGGGTGAAAATTGAGGGGTCGGTTAACCTTCTCTCGGATTCTATTATCAAGGAAGGACACAATATACATATGTCACATAGAAGGGTACTCCAAACGTGAATCCAAAATACAGTACAACCCTTGATAAATAAATATATATTCACTACAATAATGCCCAGTCTGATAAACACAAATTATTTGTTAGGGTTGTAGTTGAGAAACACATGCTTCAAAGATAACCAACATAAACCCAACTCAACTGCCAGTGATATAACAAGATAATTTTCAAGAACGTATTCCATATTCTGTAAGGCAGGAATAAGACTAGCATCTTCACTCTTAAGCCCCGCGCTAAAGATCAAGCGTCACCGCAACTCTCTTTGATTTCAGCGCTTGCGCCTCACCGAACCTAATCATGGCCAAATAGACAACCCCATTCTTACCTATTAAGGCAACAAATAGCAAATTCGCGCCCTTACAAATATGGTGGCCCTGCTTAACGCGAGACGAGCGTAGGTCGCTACTCCAGAACCACTCTCACTAAGCAGTAGCTGGTCTACTTGGCCATCACAGTTTCGATAAGGTAACAAGCCCTCTCCTCGTCTCTCAACAAATAATGTAGTTACCCTCCTATCATAAGAAAGGTAACAACACCCCACTGATAGACCAGGAACATAATTCCGACGTAGGTCTCACTATCATTTTTCAGACTGATAACTAACTGCTTTCTTAAGTTTCAACGAGGGAGTACCAATTCCATAATGCACTTCCACTGAGGACTAATTATACATTATACTGACTCCCTTCAGGAAGAACTACCTTCCCCAGGAATGAGTCACCCCATTCACCTCTGGTCCCATGCCAGATGTGGGTTTCATGCAAAATCTATGTCCTCTTCGAAAGACAATCCTTACATACGTCATCAATCAGACATCAAACAAAATATAGAAACACACATAAGGTACAACATTCATCGCAGTACCTATTATACCATAATTCAGACTGAACTCAAGGAAAGATTTTTGCCATTAAACCCCTCACTTCGCGCTTACCAGTCATCCCTCCTCATCCATGTCGCTCATGTACCAAAAAGCTCCTCAAAAGTCAGGCTCATCGACCAGGCGAGGGTGACTCAACTTGACCTCTTATAATAAACACTTCACACTTAGACCACAGTCTTAAGACATCTTCAACGATAGTCAAGGTATCAAGTAATCGACTATATACGTCCAAAGAAGCTTCTCTTTTTGCCTAGTTCTCACTTTCCCATACCCGGATGTCGTTCCAAAAGGGACAACCGGAGGCAACCGTTATCCTTGGCAACAACGCCACCTGTCGAGCGCATCGGTCCAACACCGCACAGGGCAGCGTGGGAGCCTCCTCGCCCCGTCACGCAGGAGTTGGTCTTAGTCCTCACTGCAAATGTATATGGAGCTTCAACAAACCGCTCCGGCCGAGTGCGCCAGGCATACCTCTCGCGAGCCCCAACGACAAAATAGGGCCTACGAGAGGCACGACTTACCTCCACCTTTCGGGAGCTGTCACCTCCCTTCGGTGGGCGTATCCCCGTCGGGCTACCAGTTCACAGTACGAAAGCTGATCAGCTGCAATTGCAGAGGTGGACCAGCCGAGGGCAATTTTCGCTCGTTGTAGCATAGGGGGTACGCGTGGTAATACGCCTCTATCGGACCCGCACGTGAACCGACGCCTTGGGGGCCTGAGGTCCCAAGCGCGACTCGTCGCCGATCGACTAGGACACATCCCACACGCGCACACCCAGGCTGCGCATGGTTGCGCCTCGCCGTTAATACCCCGCACGCCCCACTCACCCAGACGAGGACCCACGAATCCTCTCGCGCGCGTCGTCAGACGGGCGAGGCTGCACTAGCGTAACTTGCAAAAAACACGCCAAATACCCTTGTAAGGGTATTTGGTACGACAACGGGATGTCGACGGAGGTGGGGAGAATGAATAGGTTCTTCTTCGTCGAAGAATAAAGATGGAGGAAAGGGGAGTAAGTTGAGGTTGGGGAGTAAGCCGGTGTCTAGGACGACGACGTAGGCTTTCTGCAAGGGCAGAACAGGATGACGAAGTTTGTGTGGACAAAGTGGTTTGTGGATTAGGAAGAGGGGTAGCGAATGGAAACAAAACCAGGGGAGGTAGGAGTGGTGAAGACGGAGGTGGTAGAGTAGTCGGAAGGTGGGTAACAAACAAAGATAAAACCAGGGGAAATAAAGGTGGTGAAGACGGGGGTGATGAAGTCGGGGGTGGTGAAGTGGTTGACGCAGATACAACGGGGGCAGTTGCAGGTGGTAATGCAGACATGGCCATTGATGCCATGGAGGAACACACCGAGACCAAGGGCGATACAACAACTATGGGTCGAGTTGCTCCTGCGGAATCAATCGTAGAACAACCAAGGCCGATGAGGAAGAGACAACGAATTGAAAAGGGGCAGCCCGGGTCACAAACGACATGGAATGCGTTACTAAAACCCATGAGGCCGCAGGTGCGACAAATGCAGGTAATGAAGAAGAGGTTGTGCCAGGTGTGATAGGCGTCGGTAATGAAGACAGGGCTGTAACAGCTGTCGTCCGAGAACAGTGTGTGGATACCCGAGAAAGTGGGTGGTGAATAGACCATCGAAGCATGCCGCGGAACTAACTGGAGAGGCAGTTCAAGTGCGCAGGGTACCTCTGTTGACGTTTACGAATATAGGAAGTCCATCCTTTTGCAAGCATTGTTGGAGAGTGCCCGCAAAAAAAGCATGCGGAGTGCGAGCACTGCTGTTGCAGTTTTGAAATCATACCAGTTGTTGCACACATACTCAAACCTAGTAAGCTGGCCTGTAAACACTCCTGTCGGCTGGTGTGCAAGAACGTTGGATGTAGCACTAGGATACGAATAACAAGGATATCTCATTCAGTTGCTTTGTCATGCACCCAAGAATGTTCAAGAGCCATTAGGCGTCGTGGTCTCCTTCCATTCGAGGCCATAGTGCTCTGACGGTGGTGACAAATGTGCCCATAAAACATCACCGATCTAGCGGCATGTGAACGCATACTGTTGAGCTGCGCAAAGATCACGCCGCTGCAGGTCATCAAAGCGAGCCTCGTCCCAATACATCGTCAAATTAGCTATCTCCATACCAGAATTAATCCCCATCGAGATGCCAATCAACTGATGTCGCAAAGTGTCGTCCGCTGCACAAAGACACGTGTTTGTGACAATGAAATGAAGATGTTCAATAATTTGGAAAACGGTGAAGGTGTTTGATCCCGTATGAACCGTCCACTCCCCTTGATGGGCCCCTTTAACAATCATGTTAAGGGTAGGAGGATGTGCACCCCTGTGTGCGTTGTAATAAGGCATATGTGTAGACTTCCTCAACCGCTTTTGATACATTATAACAAATACGGTCATGAGGGAAATTGATATACATAGTTGTGAAATCAACAGTGCGAGGAGCATGGCCACAAAGAAAAGATGAATTACATTTGAGATCAAGCATCACCTCCTCAACACTTTGCACCTTCCACTCCCCTTGATGGGCCCCTTTAACAATCATGTTAAGGGTAGGAGGATGTGCGCCCCTGTGTGTTGTAATAAGGCATATGTGTAGGCTTCCTCAACCGCTTTTGATACATTATGACAAACGTGGTCATGAGGGACATTGGTATACATAGTTGTGAAATCAACAATGCGAGGAGCATGGCCACAAAGAAAAGATGAATTACATTTGAGATCAAGCATCACCTCCTCAACACTTTGCACGATTCAACATCGTCTTACACCGCTTTCCTGGTACAATAGATTATCCTTCTCACAGAGAGTCTCAACGAGTCCATGTAGTTCAGCGTTAAGGCGGGAAGAAGCGACGGTAGTACTTGCCAAGGGTTTTTGCGGAGGTCGGTGGTGGACTGCATAAACAAATGGCGCAATTAATTGATATCGACGTGGTGGGGAGAGATTATTTCGCTATACTCCGTCGACAATACTGCGAAGCCCAGGGGCGATTTGTGCGCCTCAAGTGCATAGTACAAATATGGCAGCTGTCTTTGTGTGTATATCCCCATCGATGATTCCAGAGCGCGTGATGTTCGAGAAGATTTGCGACAAAGTCAAGAGGCACAACATAGGTAGGGTTGTCCAAATGAGCAGATAAATGAGACAAATACAAATTTTTACAACATATTGTCATCTTATGTGAGATCTTGTCGACAGGAATAATAGGAAAGCGTTGTTGAAGGTGTCTCAAAGCCTTGTGCACTGAGTAAAGGAAGTGTGGTTGTCGTGTGGCAGTGTGGGAGAACGAGATGTTGCTTTAGCAACGTGTGAGAACGATGGTGCGCCACTGCTACACTTTTTTCAAAGCGGTTGACCGAAGCTGCTCAGAGACCCACCTCATGCATTTAGCAATATACTCTTCAAGGCTGACTCTAACAACCTGAAGCACATCAATGATTTGCCCATTAAGACGGTACTTCGAGCCTTCAAAACAAGTCGCAAAGGCGATCATCAAGAATGATGTCGCAGTCGATTGTAACAACATGGTTGTCGACTAAGTGTGAGCAGATGGATGTAGGGGATGACCATGCTGGACCGACCTCTTGAGTGGCTTGAGTGG